ACAGGCTGTACGTCATGGGCAAAGACGATGAGGTTTGCTCACTGGGCCATTTTCACTCAAAATAGACAAATATCTCCGAAAACAAAACACTTCGAAAATTTAGTCTTTCGACTTCTATTATACTTTTCCATGAACTCTTCTTCTATGTGCGTGTGTATGATTTTTGTATGGTATAAATTATTACCTTATTTTGTGTACAATTATAAGGACAACATTATGATACATTCATTTTGGTACTTTTAAATGCGCTTATAAAACATCTCATGTAAATCATAACCACATACACCCACAACTTATCGCTTTGTTGAAAAAGCTTAATTCTCCTCTACATATTTTCTATAATTATCTTCAACTGATGAAGGTAAGTGTAGTCATACGAATTATATTTTCAATGTTTAAATTACGAAAATGCATGTTATGAATATGATGTTACGAAAATTCAAGTTAAAATTATAATAAGGATCCTATACGTGTAAGTTCAAAGGACTGGGTTTAGTAACCCCAGGCACGAGAATTATAGCCATGAAGTTTTGTGCTTAATTCCCGTGTCTTTGTACGTATGTTATGATTATGTACAAAAACTCTGGCCATCTAAGTTCAGTTTTTAATTCCCATATCTCATTATATACATTAAGAAATCTTAAATTTTAAATATGAATTATGATTTATGTGGCCCACTTATTGAGATTTTATCACATTGTTTATGATTTTTCCTTTTAGATAATTGAGGTTCTAGACATTGGAGTTTGAAACTGGCCACTGGTAGTATGATAAAGAATAGACAATTTCACCCCCCGGGGCATAGTGTAGTGGTGCAAAGGACAGGAGTAAAGTTATCTCACGCCTTGTCGGCAGCCGTAGTGTAGGAGTTCGATTCCTGAGACATCAAATTGGACTCCTTGTAGGCGCAGTGTACAGGCAACTTTTGTTCCCTGGTTCGCTGGAACACATCCCGCAATTTACCTCCCTCATAAAGCTCTAGGAGCAAGACGGTGAGGACCTCAAAGTTGTGATTCAAATTTATTTATTTATTTATTATTATTATTATTATTATTATTATTATTATTATAGACGATTTCAGAATTTTGAACAATAAATTTTATGATTTTTAGGAAATTGAAGTTCGTGACATTGGAGTTTGAAACTGGCCACTGATGGTATAATAAAGAATAAGATTATTTATGAATTTCGAACAATAAATTTCATGATTAAAAAAGTGTTTTATCAATAATTATTGTAACTTTTGAGAATAATTATTTTTCATGAAAGTTCTATTTTACGATACGTATTTAATGATCTAAAGGGTGAGTTTTGGATCGTTACACTTGATCCTAAAACTATTTCACAGTAAGGTTGCATTCCATCGAACCATAGGTATTGTGAGAGGGAATTAAGAGTGTCAACGATCTGAGTCGAGCCAACTCGTAAATCGAAAATCGAGGCTTGGGCTCGGCTCGAGCTTTTTAAGTCAAGCTATTTTTGGTCCGAGCCGAGCAGAGCAAAAGCTCGATCAAAAAATTAAGGCTCGACCCTAACTTTCAACTCAGACCTTATCGGGCTAGCTTTTTTTTTTTTTTTTCATTTCATGAAGGCAGTTGCTTTAATTTTTTTAATTTGAGCGCTCGACCTGACACCCCAAGATGGGGCTCGATGAAATCAAGCCTCGAGTCAAACCAACTCGAGCTTTTTACGGGCCAAGCCACCATTGCTCGAGCCCGCACACCCATTTGCCATCTCAAGAAGGAATCGTTGAAAGATGGAGAGAATATAAAATCCAAATATAGTTAGTACTACCTAACCAAGACTGCTACAAAAGGATTTAGGTAAAATAAGCTTAACCTATCATTCGGAAAGAATGGCCACGTAAGTGTGAAGTGTTAACCAATGGTCTAGCGGTTATTAGGCCATATAGTCGTTGCACTAATCAATAGAACCAATTTTTAATTGAAACTACCAGCATCAGACACTGGTTCACAGCATCAGAAAGATATTACATTGTCAACTACACAATTCCTCACTAGAAACAAGAATAAGGATTACATGCCTATATAACAGCAAACTGACACAACTCCCCTGCTTCCTAGCTATCCTTCCACAAGTCTGTAACTAACAAAATGATCAAATTTTCTTTTTTTTTTTTATCAGAAATATTATATATTTTTAGCTCAAAGTTATTAGTAAATAACAAATATATACTGATATTTAAAAAAAAAATTAACAAGAAAAAATAATAACAAATATAAAATTAAATTTATACTATATTAATATAGACTTTTAAAGAATTTAATCAACGTATCGTATCGGTACTTTTTTAAAAAAATTGCGTGTTGACATATTCGACACGTATCACGTTGGACACGTGTCAATGCATCATAGCTTTCACCGAATAATTATTATCATACCAAAATAAACTATATAATTTTGTGAGGTACTGTCAAATTCTAATTTTACTGTTTAATTAGGTAAAGAATGAAAACATACTCATCTTTAAAATCTATATCATATTATATACTCAATTAACTAGTGTTAAGACACAGCAGTCAACGTAAACTCCTAGGGAGCAAATTCATAATTAGAATACCTTCACACCAGAACCCACAAAAAATGATATTCACGTTCATCAAGGGTGTTTCAACCTTGTAGAAAGGATGTCAAAAAACCAAAACAAAAACAAAACTGATCCCAAGCTAAGGAATGAGCAAGTAAAATTAAATCATCTAAGACTAATTAAAATACAGGACTTACAACTCACCTCCAAGAAACCTATTGTACTTAACAAAAGAGTAAACTAGAAATAGTTCTATCAGCTAAAGAAATCAGGATATAGATTTTCATTAGGTTTTAGCATGGGGCAAATACGAGCAATTGAGTTTTGTAATGCCCGCGTATATATCAAACAATTTCCTATTTGATAAAATTTACAGAAACTGCCATCTAAAGAAAATCTACAAACTATATATGTATGCAACAGAGTTATATCATTATGGAGATGGTCATGGCTTCAAAGGCTCTTGATTGAGTGTAATCCCATCCTTCCTCTCCAATGAAGCGAGGTTTTTTCATTTATAAGAAAAAGAAACCTCATCCAAACATGTTTGGAAACAAAAAGTTACAAATAGTCGATATTTTGCTGAGAACCAGTGTACCAATAAAACTGGATGTAACTCATTCAAATGATTCAGTAGCCCTCATTTGAGCCCCATTTTGGGGGAAAATGTATTTTGGAATAGAGTTTTTTGGGAGAATGTGCTTCGATTTAATGTAAAATTATTTTATTGGAAAATATGGTTAAAAATGAGTTTTGAAAAGATAAATTTTTGATATAATGGGGCTCAAGCAAGGGCATAATATGGTTATCCATTAAACAATAAATATTACCTTCAGATAAAGCCTCTGTTCAGTAGCCATTAAAAAGGAGTTTTTTGGGGTATATGAGTTTAGAATAGTGATTTTTTGGAGAATGTGTGGTTGAAAAGTAATAAAAAGTTCTGGATTTACGTGCAAACATTTTATTGTGCTGATTTATGGTTAAAAAAAAAATAAAAAAAGGAAGGAGTTTTCAGAAAAGGGATGACAAACAGGGGCAAAGCTTAACTTCTATTTTGTTGAACTCGTTATCAGTAACATTTGATCATCTCTAGACATAACAAAATCAAAACCTCAAACCATGAAGCAAAAGCACCATCCATCGCAGAGAAGCCTTTATACATTTTGTGCACGTGACACAAAACAAAATGGAGCAAACTTGCTGTAAGCCTGTGAAAATGCTCCCAGCTACTGTTACTCATTAACAACCATATACCTAAAATATGAAGGCATATATTAATTATTTTGTTTTCTCACCAAATTAAATGTGGTCAAAAAGATATCTTTATCAGCTTGTCCGAGGAAAATTATCCTAATGGCAATAACACAGGAAAAAAACAACAGTAAAGAAAGAGGGAGAGGACTTCGGGGGGGCAAGCTGCTATCGGTTTGGAAGAGTAGTAAGTAAATACTTCTGGTTCTACATGTTTTCAAAAGGCCAAGGGGTAATTAAGCTCAAATTTAATTAAAGGTAATTTTCTCTAGGTCAGATGCTTCAAACAACTGAAAAGAAAAAGGGAAAGTCTAAAGTCAAAGCACACATATATTAAGTTTGTTGCTTTACATATAGCTGCATGGTTTTGTCTATGGTCCCATACCACTGCTAGAGGAAGGGTAGCGTCTCAAGAGATTGCAGAAGTAGATCAATGCCATAAGTCATTCACATTTGGTATTTTTTTCCTCCTGATCCTGAATCTATTCACATTGAGGAAGGAACAAGACAACAAGCTAGAGGTAGAAAGGATACCAAAGGCAAAATACAGTTAGTCCTACCTCAGCAAGATGGGAAGGCCTAGGGATAAGTTTTATCCAATCATTTGGCAAAAATGGCAGCATTTAAATGTGAGGCGTAAAAAATCAGCTTGCCATTAATGGGCCAAAACTATATATCATTGCACTAATTAATGGAATCAATCTTATATGATATAAAGCTGCTCAGACTCCGATTCACAGTATTAGACACCAGAATATGTCCTTACATATTACAAGCCTAGTTATCAGCAAAAAGTGATGACCAATGACATAGTAAAACACAACCCCATTACTGACTAAACAATAACAACCAATGTCAGTATATAAACAAGATACAGATTATTCCACACTTTGAACTACAAATTAGAAGAACTAAAGTTTTTGGACGTTGAACATCAACGAAATCTCTTCGCAGTGTATTACTTGTAATTAGAATGACTCAATCTACTCAGAAATTAGAACTAGACCTCAATTTATATCTTTAACATTAATCTCAACCAGTTAAGTTCATTCTGATTCATCTCCCTGGGTGTGGTAACAACCGCATACATTAGCTCAACCGAGCTAACAAAACCTTGTAATGGTTAGGAAACTTCCACAGAATAATCAGTCTCTTAGCAAAATGTATTGTCAGAATCTAATTTACAGTTTAAATAGGTAAAGAAAGAAAACATACTTATCTTTGCAATCTATTGAAACATTGGATATGTACTGAATAAACAGATCATAAGAAACTACAGTCATAGAGAACTCCCAGAGAGCAAATTCATAATTCAAAAGCTATAACTAGAGGGTGAAAAAAGAAACAGTTTAGCAGGTGTCTGTAATCTCATTAACACGACTGACTACAAAATGCACTGCAGAGTGGAAATACCTACAAATCAGAACCCACAAAAAGTATTTTCTCTCGAAATTTATACGAAGCAAAACCAAATAATGCCACACTAACGTAGAAAAAGAATAACTCTCATCTGAGTACCAGAACAAAGACACTAATGTACCTTATCAATGAGTTCCATAACCATTAACTCCCGACTCTGGAACCACCACAATTGCTTTCTGCAGTTCCACATCCCTCACTTCTTTGATCTCATTCCCATCTTCTTCTTCGTCGGTATCTAAAGTAAACTGAGCCTGAGAATCAAACTGCTTCATCTCCCCTCCATCTCCAAGCGGCTTATAGAGCATAAATCCTCTGCTGATTCCGTTCTTCTTACAAATAATCGAGTATGCACCAACAATTAAAGTCACTAGAAGAGCCAAATGGCAATTAAATTGCAGGGTTGCAATAGCTCGACCACGATGATACTCGGGGTGCCCCTTGCACTTCACAGTGTAATTACCCCTGCTCTTTTCATGCAAATTGCACCCATGAGCAACCAAATTCGAGTAAAAAGAAAAACCCATTTGGAGAATCCACATTCCTTGCAAAATCAACCCAACCGCACGTCCTAATCGTGCGTAAATTGACTCTGAATTCTTCAATTCAAGAATTGTGGAAAATATACATATTGTTATAGGCACAAGAAAAAGATCATAGTAACGGTTCTCAATCCCACTTGGGTCCTTTTTTTGCATGTAAAACAACAAAAATTCTTCTACAAAAGCGAATAGATAGATCAAATTGAGGATTTTCAAAGGAAACCGAAACGAATTTTTCAAGTTGGTGAAAAAACCCAAAACAGAGTAAAGAAGAAATAGAAGAGAAATCGTGATTACCTCCAGCTGTAAAACGAAACCCGTATTATCTTTTATGTTAAGAGCGTCATATAAAGAGATTAAAGAGTTGATAATGAAAAGAAAAGCGAGAACGGAAATCGAGCCGAATGTTACTGATGAAGAAAACGGTCTCGTTTTGGTGGTGGGTATGTTGTTCTGTGACGAAGATAATGGGGTTTGTATAAGAATTTCGGAGGCGGAGATGAATGATTCCCACGCGCCGATGAGAATGAAACTACCGCCGGCGATCGTGTAGGCGAACAGTCCCATTGTTTTTTTTTTGGAAATATCTGGATGAATTATGAATTCTATTGATGTTTCTTGATTTTTGAATTTTGGTCAAAAGGAGAAGATAGAAAACAAGAAGAAAATTGGATCTGAGAATGGGGTTGTCGAATTTGACCCTAAGTAATTTGATCTGTCCCTCATTTTATCTGTGTTGGACATTGGAATCGTTCGCAAGTCAGAAACCTCCTCCCTGTCTTCTTCTCTTCAATGAGAAAAGTCTTAAAAGAGTTTGTCACGTTTTTCATGTTGAATTTTCAAATATTTTGAGTGAACATTAAAGGAATGTTTGATAGATATTTTTATGTAAAAATATATTTTAGAATAGTAAATTGATGTGAAATAGGTGGTTGAAAAATAATGAAATTTTTTTTATTTACTTGTAATATTATTTTAATAAAGAATGTGTGTTTGAAAAGAAGAGAGAGAAAAATGCATTTTGAAGAAAATGGCTACAAACGGGACCTAAATTTTAATATGATGTCATTCATCACTCATTTATCATGTTTCGTAAAGGGCAACTTACAAAAATACCCTTAAAATTAGGAGTCTTCTGAAAAATCATATGAAATGTTTTTTTGAAGTAAAAAATACTTTGTAATATTAAAAAGTGACACAATGTCACTTTTTAATTAAAAAAAGCGACACACACTTAGAAAAATGACAAAATTCGAAAAGAAAGTGACAAATACTAAAAAAAAGTAAAGAATTCAAAAAAGCAACACAAATTAAAAAAAGTTACACTTATTCAAAAAAGTGACAAACACTCAAAAATGACAAAATTCAAAAAAAGTGACAGACATTAAAAAAAGTTACAAAAATTTATAAAAAGTGACAAAGCACCAATTAAAAATTCGAACTAGTTCAATAAAGTATCTAAACTTTTCATTTAAGTCTGTTATTATCTTGTGTGGAGAATATAACGTGACTTTTCCTTTCAATCAAATTGTTTAGAAATTATTAAATCTCACTCCTATAAAAGAAAAAAGAATGACACACTTAAAAAAGTGACAGAAATTCTAAAAAAAAAGTGACAAATCTTAAATAAAGTGATATAAATTAAAAAAAAAAAAGTGACGGAGATTTTTAAAAAGTGACACAAATTCAAAAAAAGTGATAGAAAAAAAAAAAAAAATGACACAAATTAAAAAAAATGACAAAAAAAAAAAAAGTGACGGAGATTTTTAAAAAGTGACACAAATTCAAAAAAAGTGATAGAAAAAAAAAAAAAAATGACACAAATTAAAAAAAATGACAAAAAATAAAAAAGGGAAAAAAAAAAAAAAGGTAATAGATACTAAAAAAAAGTTACAGAAATTCAAAAAAGTGATACATATCTTAAATCCTACCAAAGGAAACAGATATCAATGTAAGAAAGTCAATAATTTTTAGACAAAGGCAACAAGTATTACTCCAAAACTTTATCGTTCAACTTGCAATTTCATTGTGTGGACTACAAAAACCTGGAGAATGAACACTTGTGTATATGTCACAGCAGGATCTCAAACACATACGTAAAAGATGACTGTACAACAACTTCTTGGCTTTAGCCATTATTTCCTACCATTTCCCAAAGCAATCCCCAATTTTAATAACCTTTCACCCGTTTTACTATTGCACTAAAAAGAGGGAGAGAGATTAATGGAACTAAAATTGCATTGAACCCAAATCAGCAATGTATACATCATTCTGCAAGCAAAATTTACAAGTTTAATTGTATCAAAATTTCTACAAATTCTAATGCACACAATGATCAACTATTCTTGTCTGATTCTACAGACTTCACCTGTGATGACTCGTCCTTCTTGGGTGGAACTATCACTTTAAGTGCCCATGCTACAACCAAAGTTGCCTGCATAGGAGCAAGCCAGTATATAATTAAATTAGTGACTCCAAAACACAGTTTGCTAGATTGAAGTACTGGAATGGTTACTGCTTGTTCATCTTTATGATGAAAAATAACAATATTACGTGAAATCTTTTAAAAATTCGATCAAATTTCAACCAAAGGAAAGATGATTTTTTTTTAAAATAACATTTATAGAATCTCATTCCAACGAAAGCTCACTTTTTCTGAAGTTTATAGAGGCTCCTCATCAGTGATAGCATCAAACATTTCATCTCACTTAGCAAGGCAAATAAATAGAAACATTCAGACAAATGGCAAGATTAAACCAAGCAATTCCATCACTTTGTAGAGATTACAAAACGTTATCTCTCATTGTAATCTAAAGGAGGTATAGTCCATAAACAAATAATTCACTAAACACACGAGTCCACATTACAGGAAAGATTATAAACCCTAACCTAGGAGTATATGAAAGATGGAGGAAAAAGAGATTAGCACTTTCGTGTTGAGATTGCCAACGTAAACGGTGGTGTCTTGGTTGCGCTCGGTTGAGTGTTGACCTAGAAGGTTTGCTCCAACACCAGGCGCGATTTGCATCGTCATCGAGGCCTCTGAAAGGACGTAGTGAATTGGATTCCTAGGGAAACTTCTACAGGCCTTTGAAGGGAGTTTTTTTTGGAATCAGGGGTTTTAATTTGGGGTTGTGGGGTTTTGAACGTATTTAATAGGTGATTAGATGTTTTAATTAGTTTTAAGAGTAGTATTCAAAATTCTCATTTTCGGGGG